CATTCGGTACTCCCCTCCAGAATCACTAAATGGTTTTTTAAAGAGCCTTGGGAATTTAAATAGTTAAGAAACCAGGCACACAATTCTTTCAAGGTCTTCAAAAGGACATTCTTCAACTCAACCACAACCACTCTGTGAGCACCTACTATGTTCCTGGAACTTCCTTTTAAAGAGTTCAGGTAATTTTCAAGAGCTTGCTTTATTAAGGACATAATATGGCCTTCTGTTTGCTATTAGTATATGTAAAAGACATTCAGATTAGAAAGAATAAAGCTCTAGTACATACTTATTATCAGATTTCAACAAGCTCTGTGCTTGTTAACTAGCAAAGAGTCCGGGAATGTGCATGGTCATGTGAATGGTCAACATTTCTAGGAATCAGAGAAACAGACTCAAAGACTATTCTCTTTCTATCCCATTAAATGCATCACTATGTACCAAGTACCTCCTAGCCATATACCCTGACATAAAGTCAAGCTAAGGATACAAAATTAGCTGAGGCACCTGGCCTTGCCCACAACTGGCTTATAATCTAGGAAGTATGATGAGACAAATATAGAAGTGACTATGTGGTTTAAAAAGAAAATGAAAAGTTTCTGTTTCATGACAGACATGGTACTAGAGATGGGTTTTAAAGAATGAAAGGATTTCACCAAGGAGTGAGGAACATGGAAGACACAATATAGATGCTCAGAATAGAAGAGAACGAGGACTCCAAAAAATGAGGTGAAATGATCCAGGAAATCCCTGGACTGGTTTTAATCCAAGAATTTATTTACTTAACAACCCCATAATAAGTGGGTAGAGGAGCTGGCTAAGCACAGTCTGATGAAATAAATATACAAGATCTATATATCAATATAATACTCAGTATATCACTATATCAATATAATGCTACAAAAGGGAGGGCTGGGGAGAATGCCAGGCTGAGAACTTCCCAGAATTTGCTGAAGGGTTGTTTTTTTTTTTTGGGGGGGGGAGGGGAAGAGGTGTGACATTACTGGGCAAAGCCATTCATAAAATAAACTTGGTAGCAAGAAGTAGCATGGACAGGAGGAATCGTAAATAATTATTCCAATAATCTAGGAAAGAGGTCCAATAATCTAGGGGAGACTTGTACTAGGCAAGGGCAATGATGACAATCTAGAAGGAAGAGTGGACATAACATTCTGTAGGACTTAATTTACGAGCTGTGAGAAGGGAGTCAAAAGTAACTGAGTTTCTGAGCTCAGGAGACAAGAAACAGGGTACTTAACAAAAAACAGGTGGGGGAAGGGCAAATTGGGAGGACGACTTAGTCTACAAACGTACTTTCTGAATATAATCAATTTGAGATCCAAGTAACACACACTTTCTAGTTATCTGAGATGTCGAACAAATAATGAGAAACACGGGCTAAAGGGAGAGGGTACAGGGAGTCAGAGAAAAACAATGACCTACACTCCCCCCAACACACACACACCACATGGTGACAAGAACAGAAGACAGTTGAGGAAAATGTTAAGTTTGGACTTCTGATAAAACATCATTTTGTGCAGTCCCAGCACCTGCAATTCCCTCTTTTTAAAACATGTGCACTGAAGTCATTATTTTAACTCGATCATTTGATGAACACCTAGAATATCTGAAGAAGGTCCTTGGGTTTCCCATTTTATCCCTCTCTAACAGGCCCCGTTCTGTTATGCTGCACTCATCTCTCTCATGATGCAGAACACCTCCAGATTTTCAGTGTCTCACAAAATGGGATTAGACCTTGAATTCACAATTAAAGGCCTGGCTATTGTACTTTATGAAGTATAATAGAAAGCTAGGTTCTAAGTAGCATAGGAACACAAGTTAGTAAAAACCATCAACAAGTATTTGTTGCCGACTATGTTATCAAGTATTATTCCCATCTTGAAAATCTTGCTTTATAAAAACAAACAAATGTAACAGAAAGATTTCTGAATTGTGAGCAGCCTGGGACTCATTAACTTGAGAGCTTTTGCTTGTGCTGCATTCACATGTGGTAACACATACAATTAGTACTGTGGTTTTCATCAAATACTTATACACCATTCACAGAAGTCTCATTTTTAGTAGTCGGTGAGGGAGAAAGTCCATTTTTGGCTTATGTTGAAATTAAACTACATTGTCATTCCAATTACATATGGAGTGGAACCTCTGCTAATTCACCTGAATAGACAAGAGGATCCAATGTGAATTATCAAATAAATGCTACTTTATTCATTAGTTTGGAACAAGCGTTTAATTATAATTTTTGATACTATCTAGCAATTCATTTTGTAAAAATAATTAGGACAGAGATGCACAACTGTTATAAGTCTTCCTGGAGAAAGGCAGTTACTTTGAGTGTATGCAGTAGAAGAAGCCACTAGGTGATTTATAATGTTTTATGTTTTAACATACTTTAAAGTTTTCTGTTGAAAAATATGCACAAGACAAAGTCTCACAATTCTGTATCTTATGATCTGGAGAGCCACATAATCATTATAATCATTCTGCTATAAAAATCTATAATAAAAGTATATTACCTCTATATGCATACAAATGACTGTGAACTTAGATGTCTTGATGGCCTCTTACATAAAGACATGCCAGTGACAGAAAACATGGAATCTAATTACTCAATCAAATCTTCTTCCTCACATCCCTGGTTCACGGATGTGTTGAGAGCCTAGCACAGCTCACAAAGTTAAGAAACTATGTGAAGTCACTCCTCCGTGGTCCACTGGCAGAGTCAAAATTCAAACTTCAATCTGTCACACTTCTGAACCCATATTCCGTTGACCACATCACATGTTTTTTGGTATTCCTTGTGAACTGTCATTTGCCAATAGCATCACATGTGACTCTATCACTCCCATGTACAAAATTCTCAATAATCTTCTAATTTGTTAACCTACTCAAAAGGATCTTAGGCATTTTATAAAGCCAAAAGTCAAGACTGGAGGAAGGAAGGGAGCTCAGTTCCAGGCTCAGCAGCACCACCTGAGTCAGACCAGCTGTAATTCTACAGCAGTTTAACTGGCCAGAACCCCTAAATGAAGACCGTTATTGCTTCCCTAAATATATCTAACAAACACACTTAGACTCCTTGTCGCCTCGGAGCAGCAGCTGAGGCAAAAAGCATCACCTCATTCTCTCTAATTATGCTATAGCTCTGGGTACAACTGCTGGTTACCTAAGTGGTAACTCGGAAAAGGGGATGGTACTTCTTCCCTTAAGGAACTCTTTTATCTCCCCTACAAATTGATATGAAACTCATAGGTATTTGAATCATTATTTGATTAATCCCTATGATCTTGTTATTTAGTCACTGCTTGAAATACACTCAACTTTCACCTTCAAATATAGCAGAGTTCTTGGTCAACAAGACTTGTCAGTCAACAACTATTTGCTGAACACACACAGGTACACAGAATTTTATGCTAATTGGTATTTATACCTTCAACTCTCAAGGAACTCAAAATCTAATTTGTCTTGTCTTCCTTATTAATCAGTCAAATATTTACTGAGCAACTTGACTATGGAGCCTGCATTGTGTTTGATGCAATGAGGAAGTTTAGTTAGGGTAGAGTCTACAGAGAAGTTACAAAAGGAGGAACCAAGAATCTGATTCATCAGATGGAAAGTAAAGAAAGGGTCAAGGTCAGGCCATGTTCAACACCGAGGGGACAGGGAACATGGGAAGAAAAAGAGGATACACAAGCAGCACCAGGGTGACAACTGCCTGAGTATGAGGTAGTGAATATATAAGCAGGGAGGTCAGAGAAGACATGGCATATGTCCATTCATTCATTCACTGAACAAATATATATTGTGAGTACCACGAATCAGGTGCCACTATAGGCAGTGGAGTAACTTCTATAACTGAATAGTAGAAAGTTCTGCTCTGCTCCCACATAGTCAAGTGGGGAGAGGCAGATGATGCTGCAAATAAGCATAAAAAATGTAGAGGAATAGGAAAGAATAATAGTGAGGAAGGGAGAGAGGGACGATAGGGTTGTCAGGGCACAATATTCTTGTAAGATGACACCTTAGAGAACTAAGACAATAAGACATTGAAAAATGTTATAGGAATAAGGACTTTTGAGAACAAATGACTTAAAGCAGGCAAGCCTCTAGGAGACAGGGCCTTTAACTGCTCTTGAGGGTCAAGTGTGGATATTACTGAAACTAGGAGGTGGTATGTGTATGCACATATAGTGACAGAGGATATACCCATGAAAAAAGTGATGCAAATAAACATATGCATGTGACTAACAAAGCAAGGAGGGTCTGCAGGGGATGCTTCCCAAAAGAGGAGAGAGAAAGCCAGCTGGAATTTTTAAGGAAGGGCCAGCGTTACTTTATAGTAAAAGTCTTCCTATCTGGGAAGATGAAGCCAATAAGCAGAGAGCTTAGGAAGCAATAAAAAAGTGTACTGGATTAAAACGAAGGATGTGAAATGAGATACAGTGAGAGATCAGAATGTACAAGAGGAGGCTGGAATGACTGGTGTGTTGTGTTCCGTCTGTCATGACTCAAGGGGACTGTGAATACAGAGTCTAGATGCCCAGCACAAAGTACAAGAGGCCGATTGAGCAAGTCACTTTTTCTGAAAACAGAATTGAGCATAACTGCACTTATTTCCTTTCAGCTTTTGAAGTTTGGCATGTCTTCTCCCAATGTATTCAAATTTTGAGCATCCAAATTCACACATAATAATCAGACTTTTTGAACAAAGAATTGCCTTGAAATCAGCAATAGATATAGAGAAGACCTGACTGCTGGAGATACCTCTGCAATTTGCATTTCCATATTAAAGCTCAAGATTTTAAACTGAACATACAAAACCCCATTTCATTACCTCTTTTCTTGTGCTAAGCAAAATGAAAAACACTTTGCAAGGTAAAAAATGCAAACCACCCCCAATACTGTCTAGCAGGGCTCAAAGTCAGGGGCCAGCAAGGGACCAGGGCTTGGCATGCAGAGTACAAAGACACAAAAGTACTTACGGTTTTCCTCCTGGAATGCCTGTCAGGTTTGGAGGTATTGCTGGCACACGCATGTGATGATGCGGATCAAACCCCACCTAGAATTTTTCCAAGCAAAAACAACAGAAACACTCAAAGTTACATTAACCTATTTCATCCTACTTAAAATCTATTCTAAAATTTGGGAGAACATATCCCTTAAAAATAAGATTTTAGATATATATATAGAAGTATTTAATGATGAAATGCCAGGCTGTTTAGGATGGAAATGTACTTAAGAGATGTACATGAAAAAATATTATACTAATAATTACTGAAGCTCAAGATAGAAACAGAGGGTTCATTATATTCCTTATACTACGTGATCTAATTTTGTAGGTTTAAAATTTCCAAAATAATAGTAATTTTTTTAAAGGACATACAATAAAGAAAAAAACTCCCTTACCTTACAAAACAAATGGATTTCAACATGTAATTACCTGTAACTTAATTTATAAAAACACACAAATCCCTCTCTAAATACCTCATATTATATAAACTACATTCAAACAATATGTATGACAAGTCTCCGTGCTCTGAAATATCATTTTGCAAAAGCCCACAAACATACCACCGGTGACCTCCCGTAGGCGGCAGCAGCGGCGGCGGCGGCTGCAGCCGCGCTCATCTGAGGGGAGATGTTGTGCAGCCCAGCGTAGGCAGCTCCGGGGCTGGTTAGCTCTCCATTCATGCCAGCATGGGGCACAATCCCAAATGGGGTTGGATATGGACAAGGTACTGCCATCGGGGTCCTTAGGCTCGAGGCTGCAGACCAACATGGAAGGAAGAAAGAAAAAAATCCAAGAACATAGGAAACAGTGTTGAAGACATTCTTAAATACATTAAAAATTAGAATCCACAGTTCAAATGAGCTTATTTTAATATTCTCAAAAGTCACTCAAGGCTTCAGAGGAATTCCTTCATTTGCCTTATTTTATTGAACACCCACTACGTGCCAGACAGGGTTGGTGACAGGCACTTGGTTCAGGTTAAACAACTTTGTCTAATCATCATTCAATACTGGTCATTAGTACTTTTAATGTATTACTCTCTTTCAATTGCTTTAAATTCTTTAAAGACAGAAGAATAATATATAGAAATGATTTTTTTTCCTTACTAACCCAAGGGGTCGACTCCTGGTGGTTTTCCAGGTACAGGCCTCAATCCAGGAGTGGAGTTACTGCCTGGGGTAGGTGCATCAGTTCGTGGAGTAGGGGTATTGGACTTTGAAACAGGAGTAGTAGATTTTTCATTCTAACAAGAGATATAAAGAAATGTATCAGTAATTAGAACATGGTTTTAACAATGATATTAAACATTAAAAAAGGTAAAGAAAAGAAAAAGGAAAAGAAAAACAGGAGAGAAAGAAGAGAAATGGAGAAGGTTCTTCAGCTTGGGTCATTCATTTCTAGGAAGCTGTTCTGAATCAGAGGCAGAAGGAGGCTGGCAAAGCATGATTCCCTGACTGTGACTGGCCATTTGCTGGTGGCTTTGGTAAAGACTGAGTGGTTTAACCTTGGGCTCCTGGTGGATTGCTCACATCACAAACGACTTCCTGGTTAACAGGTCCCCTTAGAAAAAAGACTCAATCCTGAATCATCAGACAGACTCAGTGCACAGAAGGCCAACAGAAAACAACAGGAAAAAAAAAAAACTTAATCTAGCCCTCTGTCTGACATATCCCCCTAATTTGCAGACAAATTGAGGGATTTCCTTTCCTTTAGCTGTGAATTCCAGAAGTTATTTGAAAACTAGTTCGCCCTTTTTTTTTTAGATGTTATGTTACAAGGAAATAACTGGTGAGGATAAAAGACGATACACCATGCAAAAATGCAATTAACTACACAGACACAGAAGAAAAGGGTGCAGAGATTATCCTGACTCATGAACAAGTTCATTTCTGCATTTGAGATTTGTGGTGTGAGTCAAGGTAGATGTTTGTAAATGAGAGATTGCTTTTTAGATAGGAAGGGAAAATTATTACAGTGATATGTAGCCCGGTAATTCAAACAAAGGTAGCAACAAAATCACATCCAAGCCCTAAACTAAATTTAACATAAAAACTGAGCCAACAAAACCATCCCTGTAACCCCAGTGTACATTTTTCATCTTCATTAAGAAAGATCCCTCTCCTATCTTTGCAAAAAGAATCACAAAACAAACACCCATTGCTGATAAAGTTAGTAAACTTACTCTGCTCCAAACATGACTTTTGTCAATACTGAACATACATGTATATTTAGAAATAAAAGTCTTAGAGAAAAATGTGAAAAATATAAAAATTTAAAAAAAAATGTCAAAATCAAACACAAATATCACCTAGAAACTGACATCACTGAGAAAGATGGTAAAGAGCTGCTTACAAGGCTAAGTTCTTTGGATTTGGAGGAAGGAGTACTGCTGGAAGATGCAATAGAGGCTGGACTAATCGGGGCATCTTTCTTGAGCAGGCGTGTCTTGTCCAGGCCATTCTCTCTTGGGGAATGTGCTGGGCTCCCTCGAGGGGAAGATGGATCCTACAAAGGAACATCATGGGTAGTAATGCAGCATAGCACATTCACAATGCTGGGGTCCTTGAGTGTGGACATTTCTAGCCAAGAGCATTTAATAGCTTAAAAGTGCAAGATGTTCTGGAATAGATAACAAGCCTCACTGAAAGTGCCAAATAAAAGATTCAGTATAGAGGCCAAAGAAGCAACTACAATATTTATAGTACTTATTTAAAACCAAAACCCCACCAATCTGCAAGTTACTTGTCAATGAGATCAGTAGGCTGACCACAGGTATCTGGTGTGCATTCACTGTGGTAGAAAAAGACACTTAATACTTCATAGAAAAGAACAGCAACAAAAAAAGGACCAGTAACATATATAATCAGCAATAGATAATTTTTCATTTAAATAAAAAGTGAGTCCCTTTAGAAAGTAAGAAAACATTTTAAATACTAATTGTTTGGCCACTATTCTTTGTTATGGCTGGATAAGATTAGGAAATTAAAGTAGTCACAAACATACCTCATTGGAAACGTCAACCACCAAGTTGTCATCACTCTTCTCACCATCGCTGTCCTGCATTGAGAAGTGAGAAGCATTAATTCCTCCCCCAGCAAAATATACCACATTTTTAGCTAGATTTACCCTAGATAAGTCCAGATTAATTCCTCATAGATTGTAAAAATGAACTGTAGTAAACTATGTTAAGCACTTTACAATGTACTATTTTCTTCTTTAATCCTCATGATGATTTTATGAGCTGAGAAATATGATTCCATTTTCCAGTTTCAAAAACTGGAGTTGATGCCTTGCTTACTATTCTAGAATAGAGGCTGCAAACTGGCATGCCTGGGATAGTCCAGCCTACAGATGGGCATGGTTTGGTCTGTCAGTGTTTTAAAAAATCTAAGTAGCCACAATGTTAAAATTAGGAGGTAAAAATTCAGATTTCCAGTTTCTCATGAAGCCTGCAGCCCCGCAGGAGACTCCAGCAGGGGAAGCAGAACAGGGGCCACCTGTCTCCACACCACTCCCACCCAGCTTGCTCCCTTTTGCTCAGGGACCTGTCCAGACACTAGCACAATATGAGCTTCATCCCATGTTAGGGACAATCTGGATGTCTTTGCAAGTTATATTCCACAAAACTTGATGCACATGAATCTATCTAGGCATTTTAATAAATTTTTCATGATTTTACATTTTTCCTTAACATATCTAGCTAACAACAGGAAATTCAACTATCTTGAAATATATGGGGGAAAGCAAATACACTTATAGAAATAACATGTAACACCCAAGTCTTCTATTAGCTACTAGATGACGCACTCTATCCTCCCACATACACACGTGCATGCACCTGTATACACACTGGCCTTCGGCTCGCCAATGAGACAGAGCTATAAATGCAACAAATATGTTCTTTCTCCTAAAGGATGTTGTTATTCTGTGTTCTAGTGTTGGCTGGTAATAGTTAAGGGTGAAAGGACTGCTGATAAAAAGCAAGGCCAGCTGGCCTTCCCTAAAGCAAAGGTGAATGAACTTACATAACGAGCTGCAATCTCCTTTTCTTCAGTTTTCTGCTTTTTGCTCTCAGAGGAGTAGTCTGTGGAGTTTCTGTGCTTTTCAGCACCTCGGAAACTGGCTGATGGGGATACCGAAGAGCTCTGGAATTAGAAGGAGAAACGGTTGAGAAATGACCACCCCTTTAACAGAGCAACTTTTTTAGTTACTTGAGTCTCTCTCCTTTTTGTTCTTTAGTGCACACTTGCAAAGCTGTTAAGGAGATAGCAGAGAGGGAAGGAGATCAAAATAAGAAGAAAACAGAAGAGGTACAGAGAGAAAGGTAAGGGAAAAAAGACAAGATAGAAAGGAATGGAAAAAAAATGAACAAGCAAGAGAAGGCAAAGAGGTAGATAGAGGAATGAGAGTAATAAAAAATGGGTGGCAGGGAATAGTGTAAGCTCAAAAGAGAATGGGTTTGGTTCAAATGGTATGTTTAGATTAATATTACACTGTCGAAGCACCATTAAAAACCTGGGAAAGGAAGCAGATACAAGAGAAAAGGGAAGAAGAAAAGGAAGGAGATTTTTTGGTTTTTTGGGGGGTTATTTTTTACAGTTTGCTGGTTAATCAGGGAAACAGGATTTCAAGTTTCTATAGATAAACTATGAATAAAGTGAGCTTCAGAGAGTACACAGTAATTCTTCAATGAAAAAAGAAGACAGATAATCTTTGGAGATTCGAGCACCCAAATATGGTGATCACATGACATGAAGGTCATATTTACAGAATTTTGCTCAGTCCCATTATGTTAAAGGTCTATTGCTGAGTGGCAGGAAAGACAACACCTCCAAAAATGCACATTATTCCTTTCTGACTGCTAGAGGTTTTTTTCATGAGCTTGCTCTTTTTAATTTCTAGAAACCCAGGAAATTAAATTATAGGGCCAGGGAGTGGAGAAAGACAGGTCACGCCTCTTGAGATCACAGTCAGGCTCAGGCCCAGGCCACATGCTTTACCTCTGCTTTCAAGGAACCCTCAACTGGAAGAGTCCCCCCAACCCCACCCCCCACACACACACAAAAGCACCACCAGTGGCCTAATCTGAAGTGCAGAGAAGGAATTTGTCTGCCACAAAGGCCAGGTGGTAACTGGGCACATTTAGATGGTACAAGAGCTTAGTATCATGGATAACAATAGAAAGAAATCACCACTGAAAATTGGGACTAACCGTGGCTAGTAACTGTTACGGGCAAGCCAAAGAAAGACCGAAATACAGCTGAAGTGTGAGAGAGGGTGCTGGGCTGAGCTCGGCTGCCCTGTTGAGGAGTGGATGGCAAAGACCTGAGTAGCAAAGTCACTATGTGGGGCACCAGGGCAGGACTCCCAAGTGTGAAATGAACCTAGCCCAGGGTAAGAAAGGGTTTGTCTTGGAGGGCAGTAGAGAGAATACCTGAAGATAAAATGTCTAAGGAAAAAAGTTCTAGGAAGAACAAAGAATTACTATCAGAACACCCTTTGCCTACCATCCAAATCAATTTTCTTCCTCATTTATAACTTTATTCATCTAAGACTAACTCTTTGAGCTTTTATTTGCTTTATCTTTCTCTTTTGTTAATAATTAAAATTTATAAAGATATACAAAATGTACAAGGGCCTCTTAATGAACTATGGGAGACAGTATAATATCCAGAACTTCTGGTTCTATGTTCCATTTTATTTCCAGTCAATCATAATGCCACATTTTCTTTCATGGCACATCTAAATTTACAAAGCACACTATTAGAGGAAAATTGATAGACTTCTTCCCCACTCTGATCAGTAGGGCTACCAAGGCATCAGTGGTCAGCTCCAAGGGTATACAGGTGAGAGTTCAGTGGGGGAGAAAGATGGAACCAGTGAGTGGCTGCCCACTGGTAGGGATGGGGGTCTCTGTAAACCTTTGCCCGCTGTACCAGCTCGTTTTATAGGAATACCCTGTAAAATGTATGTGCCAAGCCCTATAACTATCCCTAGCAAACATTTAACCTTAAGGTTAGAGGCAAAAAAGATCACAGATACTATTCGATAAGGCCGAAGACTGAAGCAAAACATTTTTTAAACAATGTTTAAAAACACTGACCTACTTCTTGATTTCTATATGTTTCCATTGAGTTCCCAACCTCATTCCCAAGCCACAACACTCAGTTCAACACTTCTGCTTCACTTTAAGATCATAACCCAAGGCAACTAGGTTTTTATGATCACTGAAACCATGCATCCAAACATTATCTGTGGGCTACCACCTACCATATTTCATGTCAGAACCCCATTTCTAGTTTCTCCCTTCTCCAATCTATCTTCCTCACTTCTGTAATTCATATTTCCCAAAGAGAGTTTCAGCCACTTCTCACTCCTCTTCAACAAGGACAGTTTTCTAATGTCCATAGGAAAAAAAAGTCCAAACTTCTGAGTATGGCTGTTTTTCAAAGTCCTTATTCCATGCTCCAATCTAGAGCCCTGGGCTTATTCTCCCATATCAGTGCTATGAGCTAGTGTGTGCTCCGTGTATTTTCGTTGTATCTGTAGCCTTTTCCCTGGCCTATGGCAATGCCTGTTAATTCTTAAGATTTATCTTTTGCAATCCTCCTCATTCCTTCTTAAGAACAAACTCTAATGTCAACCTTCAGAGCTTCCTCAGATGCCATTTGGCAAAATTAACCACTCATTCCTCTTTTTCCCTTAACATTTTGTTCCTCCACTGAATAGTAATAAATTTATTGCTATGTTTATATGGCTACTTCCCACTCCAGGCTGTGGGTTCCCTGAGAGTAGGGGCACACAATATAGTGAGCAGCCGAGAACTGCCCAGAAATGTTTTTGAACACCAATGGCTGAGCATTCCCTCTGCACTCCTCAATCTGCCTCCAAAATTCACATGATACATTTCTTTTCAGAGTATCACTAGGATGACCAATTCCATAAGAAACTATTCCCTAGAGTTACAGTTTGTGGTGGTATCCTTTAAATTGGTAATATGACAGGCTCAGCACTTTCTTCACCTTTATTCCTTTACCTGCCTCTAGATGTCTTCAATCTAATTTCATATTTTACAAGAAGAAGAAAAACTGTATATATATGATTAACAACTATCTGAGCATTTTGATTCTGATACACTCTACTGAAAGTTATTTCCACTCTGTTCAAAAGTAATAATCTTTAAACAATGAAGAAACAATTTCTGAAAATTAATACTAAATGGTAATGCCTATTTACATTCTTATGCTTATTTACTGGCACACATGCACAACCAAATAGCTTTATTTTTCTTCAACTGACTATTTCTGGTTGTGCAGGCATTTTATTTTTAAATTTTACTGTAGAACAGAGCTGCATGTTAGAGTTTCCTGGTAGAATGATAAAGTAGTTAATTATCACTAGCATTTAAAGGTTAAGCTGCACAATGGGCACTGGGGCAATCAGCAATGCTCTAATAACATAATTGCTCTGGAATCAAATTGGAGTTGGCACTGACTCTCATCATGAATCTTCGAAGTCCACCATTCTGCCACTGGAAGGCCACTTGGATCTCTGCTGAGTATGTGAATAGGAGGAATTAAATAAATACTGATAAAGCCATGCTTTTACTAGAAAAGCTTTATTTCTATTATTTTAAAAGCTCAGCCAGGTTAGATATTTCTTAAGCTTAGTACATAAGAAACTTACTGGAGCTGCATCAGGACCCTGTAAATGTACAAATTTAGAAACTCTAAACACAAGTCTTTTCTCATTTCAGTTTGATCGTGTGTGTGTATGTGTGTCTTAGCAGATCTGTTATGAATGGAGAGTCAGAGTCAAAAGCAATGGCTGATCCTGAGAAGACAAGATATCCTGGTATGTGAACGGTTAGTAAAACTCTATTTTTAAAATGTATTTTTAAAAGTAAGCACTTATACTGGCATATTAAAAAAAGAACAGGGAAGATGTGTTTAAAGAAAAAAGGGGGAAAACAAATGAGAGAAAACCAAGGAGAAAAATAATAAAAGTTTATAAATCTTATTACATGGAAACCCCAACTGCTTTGGTAGCAAAAAGTAAGCTTTAAAGACAGATATTCCTAATATTACAAATTAGATTCTAATTTCAAAATGAAAAAATTCTACATCCTAGCTTGACATTCACCCAGACTTTACTGAGGCTGTTGACTGAGTCAGAAGGAAAACTGACACCTCTAGCAACTTGAAAAGGACGGCCCTGCCCCTCTACCTTTATTCCTTAGCCACCTCAAGATCAAAGATGACCACATATGTAAAAGATTCTATAAAGTAGAATCTTCCCCTCAAAGAAGGTAGTGTTGTTATAATTAGCTAATCTTAATAACAGGGAGCACAGATTTTAATAGCAGGCAAGAGCATCTCTCTGGAGTCAGACTGCCTGGGTTTGAGTCTAGAGTCTTCCACTTAATAGCTGTGTAGCCATAGGGATGTTGCCTAGTCTGGGATAACAACACCCTGTCCCCACCCACATGGGGCTGCTCTGAGGACAAAGAAATATAATCCGCATAGACCACAAGGCACAGTCCCAGGCACACAGCCTACCCCTTCCATAAGAGCAACTCTGTTCCACTGCTCTACGCTGTACTTTAGCCCATTCTATTTACTACAGAGATTGGGATGGTGAGCTCCCTGGGATTTTCTATTTTAAACCTCAGGTAAAGACTATTCTAGGCATTTGCAGTGCTTCCCCACAGCATAGATATTCAGATGGTCCATAATGATAGGGCTTCAACAGGCAGTTATTAACCAAAACAAGGTTTTGGTTTAATATAGCACTGAGACAGGACTATAAATACCACTTCCACAATGGACTTTTAAATCTTATTTCAAATGCAAATCATGTTAATTCTGCTTTCCATTTGCAAAGGTGCAGTGACAAGACTCCCCTGCCCTCTTAGAAGATAACAACCAGGAAGAACATGCTAAAGGTCAAGTGGACAACTATGATCAAGAAGCCTAAGACTCATTTGCTATGGCTTGTTTACTCTTCAGCTGTGCTGTGGCCTTCAAAAACCCTATCTACTTGGTACCAAAGCATAAATCAGTTTTCAAAAATATAAAAGGGATAATGAGGAGGCAGAGGGCACCATGAAAACCTGGCTAGGGAGACTGCAAGTCCTGGTTTGCCC